CTGCCCCCACCGCCGCCGCTGCCGCCGCCGCCGCCCGCGCCGCCGCCTGTGCCGCCAGCTGCGGGGGCGCGCGGGACGGAACATGTGTGTTGCAGAATGGGGTATATCCCATCTGGCAAGAGCGTATCTGGGCTCTAGTGGCATGTCTTTGTCGGGTGCGCTTTAAGGACAGCGTTGTTGGAGCTACAGACTTGAACGGGGGTGCGCACCTGCCGCCCTAGGGACTGACGCCGCCCGGTTCACACGCAGTGGGCCCGCCACTAAGGGGACCCTGCGTTCGGAGCGTACGGTCAGCGTCTCCGTGTGTTCGTTGAGGCGCAGCGTCTCACAGTCGTCGGTCAGCAACGCCGTCGTGCATGGTCACGCTGGCGCGGCGCCAGCGTCAGCTTACCTAGCCACTCTCATTGGCAGCCTTTGAGGGGACACGCGGGCACCTGGGATGCGGCGATGCTCCATTTTAGCACCGAAGTTCAGCGCGCACAGCGCCATGCTGCTTGTCAAGTCGAGATCGTTTTTTGCTTCGACTGTTTTGATCTCGCGGGTGCAGTGCTGGATGATGCGACTGCACGCTGCATAGCCGAATTTGTGATTGTGGGGTGCCGTCGACCGCAGATACATGCTGCTGCACACTTGGCTGATGTCACCCGGTCATGGTAATCACGGCAACAGCCATGATGCCGTCACGACACAAGAATGCCTTACACACACAACCAGGGCAAAGCCGCCCGCGTCTGCTTGACAGGGGCAACCCCGCCACCAAGGCCACCCAGAAGCTCAGCAGTCGTTCAAGCCGCCGCATCGCGATCGGCCGCGACCGCTCGCCGCCAGAAATGACGCAAAACGGAAAATGGTTTAGACGAACGGGCGCGGCGGCGGGCCTCGTCTCAGCCCGGCCGCGCGCAGAGATGAGCTTGCAAAACTTCGGGACGGCAGGAACGCCTGGCAGCTTCCGCGGGGCCGCCGCACAGGCATGAGAGGCACTCGACGGGCCAGTATGGGCTGCCCAGGGCAGGTGGGGTTGCGCAAGGCCTCGCGCCAATCCGTTTGCGCGCCGCAAACGGCTGCGTGCGCTGCACGTCGTTGCTTGGAAAAACGGCGACAAAACACTTGGGGACGTGAAAACAGTCCTCGCCAGATTCATGGCACCCGGCAAATGGGCATGGGGGAGGTGTGCCAAATGCGCCCGCCTGCGCTGTCGCGCCGCTCGAATCCCCCTGCGCTAGCGGTTGACCGGAATTCTCCCCTCGTGAAGCGCCCAGGGGACAGATGCGGAGGAATTTGAGGGTGTGGTGCAAGGAAAGCGACACCTGCTGTGTGTGTGCGGTGGGGGGCCTACAGCTACAGCACGCCCCAACCTAAACAGCCGCCGCGTGAACAATCAGCGGATTCGTAGGCCGGTGTTGTTGGGCGAGGCGAATGCCGAGGGCGAGGCGAATGCCGAGGGCGCGCCGCCGCCACGCACGCTGAACTAGCCAAGCCAGGGGCCCAGATCGCAGGTGGACGCGCCCGCGGGAGCGGCGGCAACGGCCCAGCGGCTGGGGCGCGGACAGCCAGGCCTTCTTCTGCAGGCGCCAGCTGTGGCTGAACTAACGCCCTGGCCCCACACGCGCGTGGCCGCCCCCTGCGCCATCAACTAGCACTGCCTACTGCAGAGGCCCATTAGAGGGCGGATTGCGGGACCAACCACGGCCGTGGAGTGGAGGGGATTTCGCCACAGCCGGCCCAGGAAGGCACAGCGTGTGGATCAAGCAAGAGGGGGACACCGCGCGCTCACAGGGGTTGGGTGAAGCATGCAACACGACTTCGCACCATTCCTCCAGCCATGAGTGCGACGTCCCCGGCCCACCCCTGCCCCAGCTCGAAGGGGTGGGCAGCAGGCGCGCCGCCCGGCCCTGCGCCGCGCGATCGCCGGTAACTCAAAGGTGCGTGTGGCCTCAGACCCGCCTGCCCAGCTGCCGACGCCCGACAGGACGCCACCGGCCAGCACCGGCCCTCACGAGCCTGATAGGCTGCCGGTTCTGCCAGCAGCGGCGACCCCGCTGCCTCGAGCGCCGCGCGCGCCTCAGCCCGCCAGCCGGACTGTGCGCATCTTCGGGAGTAGCTGGTCCAAGCTCGGCTTGGCCTTCGCGCCCTGCGCGCCCGCGCCGCCGCTCGCCGCGGCTGCGGCGGCCGCGGCGACGCCGGCCATGAACTCCCTTGGGGGTACGACCGCCGCGTGGGCCGGCGGGGTGCAGCCGTGCCAGGGGGGCTGCTGCGGGTGCCACCACGGGCGCGGTGACGAGGCGGGGGCCGGCGCGGCGGACGACGGTTGCTGCTGCTCCTGCTGTTGCTGCTGTTGCTCCTGCTGCTGCTGCTTTGGCTGCTGGTCCTCTGCTTGCCTTGCTGTTTGATCTGCCTGCTCGAGGTCCTCCTCCCCTTCCTCCTGCTGCTGCTCCACCTCCTCCCCCCGCTCACTATCCATGTCAGCGACTCCGAGCCCCTCATCATCCCCCACGCCCTCCTCGGCCATGCACGCCGCAACGTCCGCGCCCGACTCCCTCAGCCATGCGGCCCCGGGCGACGGCAGCGACCGCGACAGCGCGCGCCCGCCGCCC